ACTTCGAGGATCCTGAGATATGAACAGCATTCCTTTCAACATCAAAGGAAGGTCCTTACCTTGTAAGTGTAGTTTTATAAAGTTGAATGTTACAAAATCCTTCCCTATGAAGAAATAATTCCATGGAACGGAGTCTTGATAGTCGCGTAGTCGTTGTGTTTACTGTTTTGAGAGTAATCCACTAGGCTTTGCGGATAAGGCCCAGCTCTGGAGAGTCTAACTCTCAGTGGTTCTTAAAGATCCATTTTAATACTGTTCTAATGCCTAGGCCTCCCAAGTAGTGTCATGATTTGTGTGCGTTGTACGATGGACTCTTTTAATGCTCGGTTACGAATTTCATGTTCGTACAGGTTTTGTAGGACCAATACAGAACAGAATTAAAGTTCAGCGTCTTTTTGCGTTGACCCTCAGATAAAGCGTTTCGGATTTTTGTAATTCATTGAATGATTTCGAAGATGAAACACGTGCACTTGGTGTAGAGAACTCATATAGGAAGTGAAATGACTGTCAATGCAGTCTAGAATTTTATTGTTAGGAACGTAGTTACGGGTTCTGTCGCCATGGCAGATGTTGTGAACCATGTGTCCAGGTGTGCCGTGAATAAGATGGAATGTTTCCAGCCGCCATGTTGGTGACAGAATACAGAGCGTTGTTTTGTTTTGAATAGAGCTACTGTTACGCCTTGTTATTGTGTTGATGAAAGTGATCTCTTGGTTGAGCTACTTTATTCCAGTCTGTGTATGATGTGGCCTGTTCAGAAATATTTTCTGAATGTATTTTGTGTTATTTTCAGTACATCTCATACATTATAATCAGCCAGAAAGGATTTTTACATTTATTTGATGAAATATTAATATAAGTATGTCAAATATTTTACATATTAATTAAATATATGACAGAACTGGATTTTATACGCTGAGTTATCTTTCAGGCAGTAGATAACGCTTTATTTGAGCTTCGTTTTTTTTAAATTAATTATTTATTAATCGTATTTTAAATTGACGTTATAGTCATTGCCTGAGCTACTGACTGCGTCCGTAAATAAAAAAATTAATGAAACCAAAACCTGTCATTGGCCATAATCCTAAGCCTCGTCCATTTAATTCTCTTCTGTCCAAGTTGAGGTATTCCAAGAGGTTCCCTGTGTTGGTCTTGTGGACTTGTAGGTACATACAGTGTTTCGGAGGAACGTAATGCCTTCGTTTTCAGGTCTGAACAATACTTCTTTATGCATTTCTTATGTTTCTAATCCTGGCCACCAGGAACCCCGAAACTAGTTCCGTCGACATGTTTAATTTTATTCTTGGTTTATGTTATGGGATTGGAGTATTTTGAATGCATTACGTTGGTAAACATTGCCAGATGGCCATGTTAATATCTGAACATTACCATGGACCTGACTGATTTTTCTCACTTTCCGCACTTTACTTACCCCTACCACAGTTGATGTAATCGTCCGTCCTTATTCCGATGGAAAAGTGTTGACACAAAAGAAATAAAGACTGAGTAATCTTTAAATTCTTTGCCAGAGGTTCGAAGTATATGAGGTCAGAACATTTATGGTTTTCGATGTTTGCCAGGCATGAATCATTGCGAGTGTTAAGCCATGCTGTTGGCAATATTTACGTCGAAGTTTTCCTTCAATAAATCTTTTCGAAGTTCTGTGTACTCTGACTTCCTGAATCGTTTAATGTTAGTACGGATGTTCCTCGCTTGGCGAAACCAGGGGACTGAATTCGTTATAGTCGCACAAGGTTCAGTGAAAATAAAACATTTTAGTTCTCTTAAGTACTACGCCTTTTCTGTAGTGTATAATATGCATTTTTCCTTTGATCAGGAATATGGAAATCGTGTTCTGATTTGTCGCTGTTATTTCACGTTAAAGCTGATATGTTATTCGTTTTTTGCACGATGTACACGAAATGATCGCATTTAGGGCTGGTCATGTCTGTCTTTCCGCGTGGTTCATCTCGAGCACCGCTGGACGATAACGGATTCCAGTACGTTGCCAGCCTCTGGTTCCACGGGCTGCCATGAAGTTTATGACTGGTTCCGCCGATGAAGTTCTGGGATGGTAGGCTTGATTAGGTGGCATTAAAAAACAATGTTGCACTTCTGGCGTACGTACAAGATTCTAACCGCGGACATCCGGAATGCCACTCGACAGCGTTGTTCGATAGAAGGTACTAGGACAGAACAGATTGCCTTCATGACGATCAGCGGCGTCACAGACTAAGTTCTTGGCCTCTTCTCGTTACAAGGATTAAAACTGTTCCGGCGTTTTGCCGGAAGTGCCTTGCATGTTCTTGCAGTGGGCCTACTTCCGTTTTGTTCCCTGTTCTTGTCACATTGTTCAACCATTCTCTCTTAAGAAAAGCATTTCTGCCGTATCTGTTCTTATTTCGTTGAAATTCTGTGTCGGGATCCCACTCTGACTTACTCAGCAGAATTTTAGTAAGACCTGCTTTTTACAGGACCATTAGAACCGTGAAGACTAATTAGAAAGTTGACAGCATGTGTGGCGATAGTTTTTTACTGCCTTTAAAGTAAACATATCCCTTCCCTTAGTAGATCATTTCTGAATACACCGCTGCCTTTGTGACCCTCAGAGAAGACATGTTTATTTGTGTAGTTGGTATTCCCACAACACTGAGGGTGCGTGTGGTGTGAACACAACAATTTCACCCACTGGAAGAACATAAAACTACAGCTTGCTTTCAGAACAGTCAGCGTATGGGCCGAGTTGTGGGAATTGGTGGCATTGCAGTTGGTAAAACTGCAATCTTACTTCAGAATTATCTTTCATTTCCGTCGCATACTGAAGCATTTGTAACCAGAGACTGGGAAGTAAATAATGTTTAATTACAATGGCTTTGCTTTATTGAGTCCAGAAATTATCGCATAAAAATATGCAGTTTTTGTTGGGCTGTATTGACGTACAGTGTAAAAGAACGACAAGGCGGTCACGTGAAATCTTCATCTGCATTTTCAGTGAAGGACTGTTAGAGCTTTATATCTATCTATCTATCTGTATATCTATGTGATTATTTATATGGAGATAAATCATAAGCATACAACTGCTGTATGTAGCATAAGAATGTTAACATTTTCAAACATGGTGATGGTGCGAAAGTTTTGATAAATTTAACTTAGCCGAAACCTGTACTAGTGGACATTGTACGTAGAAAGTGAATCACGAAGTTCTACAGTTATTAATTTGCAATTACTGCTTGCACTTGACATATATATTAATATATGTGCACACTAATTTTCCTGGAACCCGTTAATATGGGTAATCTCCTTGGTTAAATGGGCCTTCCCGGATTAGGGAGTCGTGGCAAGACGCTGATGGGCGCCGTCCGAGTGTCGTTTTCACACGCCCACGTCCTCTATTACCGTACAACATTGTCGTAATGACCTCAGTTCTCTGATAACTCTCCTCAGAAAGTGTTTCTGTCTGGGAGCTTGGCCCAAGACGTGTGGTAGGATTTATTTTGGTGCAAGCAGTATCCTGCCCTGCGCCTAATTTTAGGTTGCGAATGCTTCATCCATTTTCTTTTCCCTACTTCTCAAGATACATCATTGACCTCTTCCTCCTTCTCGGGTACGGTTTATAGATCGCGAAAGATAAGTATAGCAATGCACCCTCATGAACGGACGCGTGAAACATAACCTCAGTCATCCATTTAGTTGCGAGCATGTAGTGTAATTAAACGACAGTCTTATCGCACTGTCTGGTACGAAACTGATTGCAGTATGCCGGAATAGCTTAATCAGTACAATGACTGACCACAGACAATGATGGTCAGGGTTTGATTGTGTGGTTAGGTAATAATATAACTATTTTACGATTTCTTCAGCAAGCCACAACCCTGCAAGTTGGCTGAAGTGGTAATGCAGCTGACATGTATTTGGGAAGTACCTTGTTCAAACCTAGGCTGATGCAGATACATAAACATCTACAGGGGCATTTTATGAGCTAAAGTACCCATTCATTGCCCTGGTTTCTCTTTAAATAAAGTGTACCGAAATATTTACGTTGCCTCTCTCTTATATATTTAGAAATATGCCCATTTAACCAGTGATAGTGTTGGTTAACTTATAGGATTTGAGATTTTCATAGCAGTATGAGTATAAATGGTCTTATGGCACTGAAATTGGAGACAGTATGTTGTGAAGGAACATGTGCATCAGTGCAAATTACCATCTGTACCTCTTCAAACTTATAAGTCACATGTGGCGGTTAATGCACTGCAAGAAATTACAATGATTTTTTCTTACCCAGGATTAAATTGTGGTCCTAAAAACCAAAGAATGTGACATTACATACCTTGCCTGTTGTTTGCCACTTTACGACCGCCATGCAGTAATATTATCTCGAATGCCAAATAGATTCCTTCATGCATTAAACTTTGTGTGGTTGCCTAGGAAAGAAACAGTAGTGGACACTAAAATTTTGTAGTTTTGATAATAAGTACTCGTAGGATAAAATTTAAGTTTCGTCCATTTATAATTTTTACTGCTAATGCTAATACACTAATGGACAGGCACAGTTTTTCTGTAAACATTTTTATTTTATACGTTCCAGTCCAATTTCACTGCTTTTCTTAATGATGAATGAAGTGGGTGATTGTGACATTTTTTCTGTAGTTTCATATACTGTGGCTAGGTTTACCAAACTGATCTGAATTTAGCATCTGTTGCGCGCTTCTGAAGTTTGTTGTCAGTACAAATGATACATCAGGAAAACCGTAGACCATTGGGCCAAATTAATTGAAGAACAAGATTGTACAGTCAAATAGGATGTGTAAGTTCAAAGTATTTCATGCATTTCTGGATTCATAATTTACTTTTTGTAGATTATCTTTCAAGTTCACACAAGTTGAAAGTATTACAGCTTTGGCACTATTTTCTTTATTATTCATACTGAATTTTTTATGTGTGTTGAGATTTGATTTTATGATGTATGTAATTAATACAGTGTTTCATTTTCCCTGTAGACTTTCACGGCATGGTGCAACTCACACCTCCGAAAGGCAGGCACAGCCATCGAGAACATAGATGAAGACTTTCGTAATGGACTCAAGCTGATGCTGCTCCTTGAAGTCATCTCTGGCGAGACATTGCCCAAGCCAGATCGTGGAAAGATGCGATTTCACAAGATTGCCAACGTTAACAAGGCTCTTGACTTTATTGCTAGCAAGGGTGTTAAACTGGTGTCCATTGGTGCTGAAGGTTTGTCTTAACACAGAAATATATGAAATTCTTACAAATATTGGTTGCCTAAATAACAGTCAGTTGTATGATGGTTTCAGTCCCTAGCAAGCTGATGGATTTTTCTCTTCACCACCACATCCAGACTGGCTCTGAAGCCCTCATAACCTCTTATCCATTGAGTGCCAAGGATTTGTTATCTGAGGTTAAGTGGCCAGAACATGAAGTTGACCACACATTTTCATATAATGCCAAGGTTAAGAATGAGTGGGCTCTGTATATCTTCAGTGCATGGTGTTTAAGCACTGGGATAATTTCATTTTCACTTCTCACTTTGTTTCACTGAAAATTTTCTGGAACTGATGAATTTGTTATTAGTAGATCCAGGATTTTTGAATGTGTTTTTTCTTGCCCACATCCCTCCAACAATTTTGATGGTGCAGTTTGTGGTTTTAATAAACTCAAAAGAAATGAACAGTTTTTTTCTGTAGTGACAGATTAATGCATTTTGGTGTGAAAACCTGGAAGGCAAAGAAATACAGCTTGAGAAACCTAGGCATAAATGGGATAATATTAAAATTAATCTTTAATAAGGTGTGAGGATGCAGGCTGGATTTATTTGGCTGAGAATGGGGTCTAATGGCAGGTTCATGTGAGTTAGATAATAAACCTTCATGTTCTGTGAAAGGCAGGGTTCACATATTTTGACCATTTGAATGACTGTCAACTTCTGAAGGAATCTCTTCCCCAGAGAGTTATGTGTGATGTGGACTTGCGTTTGTGGATTCACATGTTTTTTGGTTTTTTGGAACACATTCCTCACATGGCCAGAGGATCATGCTTATCAGTTTTGTCACAGATAAAATATGGCAGGAGGGATGTGGTTTCTCATTCTTGGCATTACAATTTGAAGTCCAATCTTATAATAACTAACTAACTAACTAGATGGCTTACCGAACCCGAAGGTTCATCACCGAATTAACCAAAGCCCTCCACCGGACCCTGTCCTGGGCCAACAAAATCCAGTTTCCTTCAACTCCTATCTCCCATAGATCCCGCCTGAGATTATCCTCCCATCTACGTCTAGGTCCCCCCAGCGGTCTCTTCCCTTCAGGTTCCCCAACCAGTACCCGGTGCACACCTCTTGTCCCATCCATGCGCGCTACATGCCCAGCCCATCTCATTCTTCTCGACTTAATCACCCTCACAATACTGGGGGAGCAATACAGATTTTTAAGCTCGTCATTGTACAGTTTTCTCCACGCCCCATCGTCTTCCCTCTTAGGCCCAAATATCCTCCCCAACACCCGATTCTCAAACACCTGCAATCTGTGTTCCTCCCTCTGAGTGAGAGACCATGTTTCGCACCCATACAAAACAGCAGGCAAGATTATTGTTCTGTATACTGCTTTTGATTTTTTAGTGTCAGGTCGTTATCGATACATTTATTCACACTAAACAAAGAATCTTTTTTTTAAAAATTACCAAGGGACAAAAATATTACTAATTAACAAACAAAGTGTCAGAGACTAATTAGATTAGTGTTCTCAAAATGTGATGACAGGCGTTAAATAAGATATTAATGGACGTTATTTGATGTACTGATCCTCATCTGTAGATACAATATGCGAAAATAATAATAAAAACGGACCCAAAATATCGATGCGACCTACTAGATATTACTAAAATTTTCAACTAACATTAATTATGAGAAAGTAATTATCGAAAGTATAACAACATCGCTGAGGTTAGAAATTAATGTTTTTGCAGGCCGTATTTTGTACACTCCTGATAAACTGATTTGGTCATACACGGGACTTCAAATTGGGATTTTTAATACCTCTAAGAACCCCCGGTTAAATTTTTCGTTTCAAATGGGGAGATCATTTACAGAATTACAAATGTTCCGGGCTTATTAACAGTGTATGAACTCGCTGTAAAAATCAGTTCACAGAATTAATCCTGCTAGCTCGGTCACGTGATTGGTTACCTTGGTCGGCCAAAGTTTGAGCAGTTTCGTCGTTCTCGGCTGCTGACAATTTTGAGATTCCGGTTTCACGCGCAAGGCGACTCAGTGATTTCTGTGGTGTGCGTTGTAACCTTGGACCTGTTTCGTCTCGTTGTCCTTCGGTAAGCACGCGTCGCTTTTGGTAGATTTTTTGTCCAGAAATAAACCAGTAGATCGAAATTTATTACTAAATTTATGGATACCTGCTGTGCTTGGAACAGTTAACCCGGGAAATTTACGAACGAAATTTTTCACAATTCTTTTCTAGCGGTAGCACGTTTCACAAACTGTTCTTATAGGAAAAACCCCATTCGACGGTATATCAAACCATATTCACACACACAATAATAACCAGCGTTTAACAGATGAAATATTGTGTGAATTATTTTAGCGTCAATTCCTGATGATGCCTGGCGATGTGTCATGCCCGGAGCCGGGAAGTGACAACTGCGTTTAACTTTGTCAGTGGACGAACTGTATGACAATGAGTGGATTTATGGGAATAAGCGAGCGACGCCGTGAAAGAGAGGAAAGTTAGTGGCTGATTCGGTGATAACAAAGAATTCACTAGACACTGTACAAGAATAAGAAAGTAAAAGTGAGTAAACCTTCTGGTACATGTAACTGTTGCGTGGTACGAACAGAGTCGTAGTATAAAAAGTGATTTCAATAACAATGAAGGAAATATAACTACACTTTCTCTCCAGTTATCGTAACGCCACTGTCCGCTTACGAAACGTCGCCCTTTCACATTTCTGTGCTGAGAAACTAGTGAAAACTGTTTACACTTTAATAAGGAACTAACACCAAAACAGGTGTTTCAAAACCAACTTCACTCACATTCAAAAAAAAAAAAGGACCCTGGTTACAATACTAATGTTCAAATATGACAGTTTCGCAGATGGTTAATGACGTCACGCTGTCTGCAGAAAATAATTATTTAAAACACTTGAAAGCGGAGTAAAATCTTGGAGATAAAATGCTTTACGTGTTTTAAACTGCACGGTATCTGCTTTATTTTTTAATAGTTTATTTAGAGAAACTTTCTCAAGTGCATAAGTTACAAAGTTCTGAGTGATTCTATCATAGCAAATTATGAAATGAGGCACATTTGGATAGTTTACGTATCATATATTTGAATGTTGTATCTCAACATATGTATACAGGAACTTAGAAAACCTAGACAAATCGTCAGTCAGTGCAGAACAACTCCTGACAGAGCATACAAATCGAGTAGAAAGCGGAAATTGTAACACTTCTACTAGCTAGGTAAGATTTCAGGTTCTCACGGCGAGTATTAAGATGGCTGTCTTCTGGGATGTTGCATGACGTTATAGTCTGGTGGAAACTGAATGACGTTTCAGATATGCTCACTGCCTCCATCATCGTGGCGATGATGAAGGCAGTACGCACCTCTGAAAAGTCGGTCAATTTTCACCATACTTGGCACAATATCCCATAAGACAGTCATCTTCATATTCCTATTGTCTTAACTACATTAACTTTGGACGAAAATCTGCCAGCCTGCTGTTCATTTTCTGTGTTATCAGTCGCCTTTATCACATTGTTCAGGCTACACGCTTAACTGCACAGTCGGAGAAGTTGCCGCCCTCTCGAGGCGGCGATTAGGCTCACTACACTGACACCCGCATTAAAAACGACGTTTCTGACACTGCGAATAACAAACAAATATATTTCTGTGCAATATAAGCGTTAAAGGATGACTATATAAGAATATATCGACGTGTGATACATTTATTACATGCTGTTCCATAACTGAAGTGGATGGAGCACATCTGACGTAAACATAGATGAAGATTTTGAACCTTTCTTAGCGGAAATTATTATGATAATTATTAATCAACGTTAAATTTGACTAAATTCGTTAGCTACTAATAATTCTTTGTAACTTTCCTGGAAAAAATACTCCGGTGAATAAGATAAAAGGAATAACACGTGAAAACAAGGCTTCGCGTTACAATAAAAATGTATTCCTTGAGGATCGCTCAGTAGGAGAAATGAATATGTTTAATTAAATGCATTTGAAGTCCCTTCAGCCCTGAAAAGAAGGGGAGATATTTTCCTTCGAAATGTTGGTATCTCGTTACAACCCAGAAGACTAAGACGATGTCTTCGCCGTGTTCTTATAATAGGTTACTTATGTTCTAGAAATTGTCGATGGGAACCTGAAGATGACTCTGGGTATGATTTGGACCATCATTTTGAGGTTTGCAATTCAGGACATCTCTGTTGAGGAAATGACTGCAAAAGAGGGGCTGTTGCTATGGTGCCAGCGCAAGACAGCACCGTACAAGAACGTCAATGTGCAGAACTTCCATCTCAGGTATGTTTAGAGATTGAAAATTTCTTGTATAGAACTCATGGATTTTTGTGGATTGTCATAATCTTAGTTATGCTCAAAATCTACTAGATGTGTGATGAATTTATTTATTTCTAGATTTTTTGCACTGTTGCCTTTGTGACCAATGGAATTCATTGGCTGAGTTCTGTTGATGTTACCAGTACTAATTTGTTTGTTTCAGAATAATTTCATGATGTTAATACTGTAATTAGGCCTGTATTTGCTGCATGTGTACAAAGTAATTTGAATAAAAGATTTATGTGGTGAGTTGTTGAGTCCGCGCTCCAGTTTTAGAGATAAGGCTGTCTCGAAATTGATCAAACAGATTGATGTTATGGAAGAGTAGGGCGTATGTTGAGATTAAACAAGTGACCAATTAATACTAACATTGTGGTTGCTAGCTGAAACCAAACTTGCTATAACATCCAGGAAGTGAATTTGTTCCCCGTATTTTAAATGGGCCATTTTCTTTTGGTTGCAGTATAAAAATAGTGTGCTAGATTACATTGCAGAGTTTTTTTATGAAGTACACCATAATTTCTCAGGATTTAATGGTAATGTTTTTCTGCAGCTTCAAGGATGGTCTGGCATTCTGTGCTCTCATCCACCGCCATCGCCCAGACCTAATAGACTATAACAAGCTCAGCAAAGACAATCCTCTGGAAAATTTGAACACTGCATTTGATGTGGCTGAGAAGTACCTAGACATCCCTCGAATGTTGGATCCTGATGGTAGGCTTGTCAAGTCATCTTAGTATGTTTAATGGCTTTGTATGCTGTTCACATAATTCTAGAATTATGGTTTATAACTTGAAAGAAGTTCATGACGTGATGTGATAGGTTGGGCATATTTCAGATCTGATCAACACGCCCAAGCCAGATGAACGTGCCATCATGACCTATGTGTCTTGCTACTATCATGCCTTCCAAGGTGCTCAGCAGGTAATCGGTTGGAGACGCAGTAATGACATTGTGCTTCAGACATAACCCTACAATTAGCAGCATGGATTGCGAGCCCAACTTACTGATTGATGTTCTCTTTTGTTTTGTTGAATGAGCTAGCAAATAAAGCATGGACTCTGTGCTGTAGATGTTAACAAATGGTTATAAAACCTAAAGAATTTTACTTTCAGGTCACATTTTATTGAAGATGCTGTGCAGCAGCTCCATATTTTAGCTTGACCCCTTAAAGACAACGCTCATATTTAATAATTCAGACCCTACCACAAAGGAAAGACAATGCTTCCCCCTTGGAGACATCAGTTGATTAATGCTGTTCAAGGAAATAACTGCTGTTTACTCCTAGAATTAGTCAGAGGCAGGATAGCTCAGTCAATAAAGTTTCTGGCTATGGCATGGATGATGGGGTTTTTCTCTTGGCTACTGCATTCAGATCATGTCTGGAACCTACTCAGCCTCCTATGAAATGAGAGCTGATGGTTGTTACCACAGGAATGAAAGATTAGGCACTAATGCATTCACATATCTTCATGGCATGATGCATAAATACAGGGACAACTTTATCTTTGATGATCTTGGTAAGATCAGTCAGTTAGTGATTGGCTATGAGCTAGGTGAATTGGGTTTGATTTCCAGCAGAAGCAGGAATTTTTACCTCTGCATCTAGACCAGCTCTGGAGCTCATTCAGACAGAGCATGAAGCTGTCCACTCATCTTACTGTATTGCCAAAGTTAAGAATGTGTTGTGCATTTCCACTCCCCAGTGTGTTTTCATAGTGTGGCGTGTAAGCACTGAGATAATTTTACCTTTGTCTAACATTTGTTCTTAACCTAACTGTAACAAGGTGTGTGATGTTTGCTGCTTCTTTGCATGCCGCAGACCTGGTAAACACTGCGATGCCAGATGAACGTGCTGTGATGACCTACGTCTCATCATATTACCACTGCTTCTCAGGCGCACAGAAGGTACACATACTGTAGAGGGCATTGTGCTTTCTGAAGAGGTTACATAAGATATTCATATTCATTTATATATTAATTAATTCACACGTACTTAGCTGAAGAGAAAATTACACTGAACACTGTAAAATTTGTACACTTGGAAGCTAGTAAAAACTACTCTATTAATTGCAGGGTGAATTGGTTACTTTTATAAGTTTCTGGTTGGTTGGTGTCATTACTTGGCACTTGAAAATATTGACCAAATAATTGTGTACTGAGTTTGAAAAATTAAATTTTAAATGCTTTTTATGGAAGCATAGACCTTACAAGATTGTACATGGTAAAAACCAGCAATCAGAGACTTGAATATGACTTCATTAGACAGGTTCATTAGCAGTTTGATCTTCAAGGACTGTAACCTCCTTCTTTGTTAAACTTTTCTCCACTTTGCAAATAATTGCCATTATGCTTTCTGCATTGATAAGCATGTACTGTGTACAGAAATTTCATGAAAGGTAACTTTATAATGTGATGTGATTGAAAAATATTTTTGGCCAATAATGAATAAGCAAAAGCACCATTTAGAAGTTGTCTGTGTATGTTTGATTCAGTAAATTTACCATTCAATCAGTGTTTTGATGTATATACTACTACCTGTGTTAAAATCTACTTTTTATTTGTTGAAAATGATAGGCTTTTGTTATGTATATGTTTTTAGCATATTCAAATAATTTTATACAAATTAAATGTAGCTAACACTGTGATACTAGAACTTAAGACTACTAATACTAAATCCTACCATTGGACACAATCCTGAACTAATTCCATTCATCTTTGTTCCTTATGACGTGCTTCCTGAAGATTTGTCTTAATGTTATCAACCTCTAACCTTGGTCTTTCAAGCAGATATTTCCAAGAGGTTTCATCACCAATTTCTGCATATGATCCTTATCACAAGCTTTGAACATTATAAGCACGTAGATTACAGAACCCTTATTGTAAAAGATGACTGGTATGAATAATAAATGTTTGTAAGATACTGAGAAATGAAATCTGATTGTGGCCAATTTATTATATTCTGTTTATGTTTATAAATATAAGTTCATTTGATGTTTGACTCTAGGCAGAGACAGCTGCTAATAGAATCTGCAAGGTTTTGAAAGTCAACCAGGAGAATGAGCGCCTTATGGAGGAATATGAACGACTAGCTAGTGATGTAAGTAAACTAGGTTTTGTTTTATCCCTTCACATGTATTAGAATTATTTTGCTACAAAGTGACAAGCAAGCAAATTTATTTCTGTGATTCATTCTAGCTGTTGGAATGGATTCGACGCACAATGCCATGGCTCAGCAGTCGCCAGACAGACAACTCACTAGCTGGTGTGCAGAAGAAACTTGAGGAGTACCGTACTTACCGGCGCAAGCATAAGCCTCCTCGTGTTGAACAAAAGGCAAAATTGGAAACAAACTTCAACACCTTGCAGACAAAGCTGCGCCTGTCTAACCGACCTGCCTATATGCCCACTGAGGGCAAGATGGTCTCGGTGAGTGTTTTTAGTACTTTTAGTTTTAACACATTATTATTTTAGTTGTCACTGTGTGTTGCTGCAGACCTTTTTTCTGATAACATTTCTGATGTTCTTTCCAGATTTGTATCTGTCAAATGTTATCATATCTTAGGACACCAGGTATATTTCACAAAATAACACATTGTGAGGTCATTCTTTTATGGCTACTTTGGTCAGAAGTGTCATAATAAGCAAACATGTTCTATTGTCACAGTCATGTAAAGTTAGTACATAGTAGCCAGGTGATTGCTAGGATACCAGCTCTAACATGCTTGTCACCATTAGGGTTTTGACTCATAAAAATCCTTCATAGGCCATTGTTCACCCACTCTTCTTCATCCATTTCTAATGAAGTAACTTATACAGTAAAATTCCTATGGAAGGTTGTTTTTCTAGATAGCAAAATTAAATACTAAACTGAAGAAACTTTAAATGGAGGAAATTTAAAACTATCATAAATAGGTAATAAAGTGCAGAAAATGAACATTAATGTAGGAAAACCTTAACTTGAGGAACATTAAATGAAATTCTACTTAAAATAGTAATTTGAGTGTTCATGACAGGACATAGCCAATGCTTGGAAAGGGCTTGAGCTGTCTGAGAAGTCATTTGAAGAATGGCTGCTGTCTGAGATGATGCGACTGGAGCGCCTGGAACATCTGGCCCAGAAGTTCAAGCACAAGGCTGACATCCATGAGGACTGGACTCGAGGCAAAGAGGAGATGTTGCAGAGCCAGGACTTCCGGCAGTGCAAGCTGAATGAACTGAAAGCTCTAAAGAAGAAGCACGAGGCATTTGAGTCTGACCTCGCTGCTCATCAGGATCGTGTGGAGCAGATAGCAGCTATTGCTCAGGAACTGAAGTAAGTTGGAAGTCATGAGATGTGATATCAAACTGAATAAGGTGCCAGTAATTCTGGTTTGAACAGGGAAGTGTAACTGGCAGCCCCATTATATAACTTCCCTTATATAATAGTTTTAGGTCTACATATTTGGAGTCTTTGTGCAAGGTTTTATGTTATTTAGTGATGATTACGTTTCTCTAATCGTAGTCCTTTTTGTGTTACATTGATTCCATTTAATTTCTTGTTCAGATCCTTTGTGCACCTGAAATAGTTCAATGGGAATTTCATTGTATATTACCACATTGAGATTTGGATATATAGAGCACCAGGTTTTCAGTGAACGCCAAATTAAATTACAAAATTCCTCTGTAGTTTACTGTTCTTAACAAGTTATTCATTCTTCACAGTACTTTAGAGTACCATGATAGTGCATCTGTGAATGCACGGTGCCAGAGGATTTGTGACCAGTGGGACAGGCTAGGAAACCTGACACAGCGCAGGCGTCAGGCTTTGGATGAGGCTGAGAGAATTCTTGAGAAAATAGACATCCTACATTTGGAGTTTGCTAAACGTGCTGCAGTAAGTTGTACTACATATTTGTTGTGTTTAACAAGAATTTGAGATGCAGACATAATCAACACATGAATAGTTATTAAACTGTTACCCATATATGCATATTAATACAAGCAGGTAGTTTTTATGGACACATTAACATGTGATGAGATGGAAGTTCAGTCTTTATTTCTTCAATGAGGCTACTAGATTTCCCAATAAGTTGCATAATGTGAAGTGGACACAATGAGAAACATAAAATCTTGGTTCAGAAGTGCTTCTGTGTATAACAGAGTGTAATTTTGAAATAAAAATCCACAAACCAAATATATTTTTCCACATTTTTCAAATTATTATCTGCATTCACGTGCAAACATTGAGTTGTTACTAATTAGTTAATATGTTGACATTCATTGACAGCCTTTTAACAATTGGCTGGATGGTACGCGAGAGGACCTTGTGGACATGTTCATTGTCCACACCATGGAGGAGATACAGGGTCTGATCGATGCACATAGCCAGTTTAAGGCAACTTTGGGGGAAGCAGATAAGGAGTACAACTCCATTGTTGGGTTGGTACGTGAGGTAGAGGCGACAGTGCAGAAGTACCAAGTGCCGGGTGGACTGGAGAACCCATACACCACACTCACAGCAAATGTGAGTATTTTATAAATGGATTCAATATCAATCAAAAATGAACCCCATAATGACCTTATGCAACTCTGTACAGATATTAAGTGTGGATGTTTCATGTACTGAAATGGCAGCATGTTTGAGCATAATGAATGTCTGCTTTGTTGACATTTGCAGTTTCTGTATTGAGTATCCTCTTTTGTGCAGTGTGTAACTCTAAATCAAATTAAAGCAAACTTGTTCTGAAAAGAAGCCAGCTTTATCTTTCAGGCCAGATGCTAATTGTTCATATTGTTGAGAGGCCAATGTGAAACAGCCCATTTATTGCTGTGACTAAATATGCTTTTGCAGCTGTTTATCATTTTAAGAGTGTGTTCCTAAATGTGTTAATAAGAGGAAACAGGCATAGTGTTACTGTTGAAATAAAACATTACAATTGATTGGTTAGCACTTGAATAAGAGAGTAGTCTGCTAATTGTTACTAATGTATTATGATTGTTTCTAAGCATGTTTGGTAAAAATTTATATTTATTGATATGTTTGCATGTAGTAAGTTATTCTTCTGGTGGTACTCTGGACTAAATCAGTAGTGCCTCTACATAAAATATATATATATATAAAATATTTCACTGTGTTTTGAAACTATCAAGCCTTGTTTAGTGATTGTGGATAAAATAGGAAATATGCATGGTCTTAATTTTTTTCAAAGTTAAGTATCTTGGCAGTTAATAGTTTTGAATTTGTGTACTTTGAAACACTCAGAAAAATGAATTAAATACTGCATCCCATACTTATGAGACTTTGCTTGTTGTTTTTTTATGTAAGAAGTTAAATGTTTGTAGTGTACGTTATGTTGTGTCACATGGTTTATGTAGTGATTCTTGTTAACATTTTCTGCTGACAAGGAAGAACTGGATAGCAAATTTCAGGTAGGTTCAGCTGTGGCTAGTTTTAAAATAAATTTATAATGTTTTTGGTTAAGGTTTGTGCGTATAGAACTGTATACCATTAGGCAGATAGAATATATTGCAAGTTTGAATTGTGTTTTTATTTGTGACTGCATATTTCTGCCATGCCAGTAATTTTGGGTCTGTTATACACTTTGTACTAATTAGGACATGTGAACCAAAATAGGGAACTGTCTACAGACTGGATGGTTCTGTTCCTGGTAGGGTGTGATTCTTTAACCACATTTAACTGACTCTGTGACCCACCTAGTCTCCTGTTGGTACTGGTTTGATGCTTAGACACAGAGACAGCTTTAAGACTACCATATAGAACATAAAGGGATTGAAACCCAGTGAATGTGTGGGCTTCAAGGTTTCTGGTGGTTCCCTTTAGATGATATAATTGATCAATTGATTTTGAAAGGGCTTTTGTCTGTTGTAATGTTACAGGATCTTACCAAGAAGTGGTCAGATGTACGGCAACTCGTACCACAACGGGACCAAACCTTACAGGCAGAATTGCGAAAGCAGCAGAGTATCCTTATTTAATCTGCTCAACTACAGTATATGCTATGATCATGTTTAAAATCGTTCCAAATACTGTAATGGCTTTCTCCTTGTTTTGTTGTTTTTTTAACCGATTTGTCCATTTGTAAGGGATTTAATCAGATTTTTAGGATATGTCAACATAAATAGATGTCTCATGAATTTTCAAAGGCTTTGGCAACACTGACAGCAGCATGAATTATGATACCAATTGTATTAATCCTAGTTTACTTTAATATCTTGTAGGAATAAAAATATTTAACATTTCAGTTACGAATACAGGAGTGAGATTTCAAGTTCTCACAACATTAAGTGGCTAGGTGGCTGTCCTCTGGTTTTTGCACTGTGTAGTCTGGTAGACAATTACTGACATTTTAGATGTGCTTCCATTGTCAGAGCAGTCGCTCTGTATCATTCATTTTAACTATTTTCCTTAGCTTATGTCTACAGATAATGAGATGGTTCGTAGGCAGTTTGCTGAGAAGGCAAACCAAGTCGGACCATGGATTGAACGGCAGATGGATGCAGTCACTGCCATTGGTATGGGTCTTCAGGTAAGTAATCACCCATTGTATTGTGACAACACATGGATGATTTGTGTGAATGGGGGCATATGAGGGAATAGGGAATCACTACTACTTCAGCAAGCTGGATAATTCAGGTTTTGCCTGAGAGGAATAACAATTTGCTAAATTATCATAGAATGGTACTGCAAGCAGATTATTTAACTTCTGCACTCTAATCAGACTGGAACAGAAAAGAACCATTTGTATACACCATACACAAGACTGTGTAGTATGATAATCTGAGTAATCTTGTTCACAGAGGGTGACAGCTCAGTGCAGGAGAGTTAAAGTTACTATCTGTAATTCAGCGTTGAACAGGACTTCACATATTATATCGTGTGCATCAGTTGTGACTGATGTGCTATGTGTTTCAGGGTTCATTGGAAGATCAGCTTCATAGACTGAAGGAATATGAGCAAGGAGTTTATGCGTACAAACCACATATTGAAGAACTGGAAAAGATACACCAGGCTGTACAGGAAGGCATGATTTTTGAGAACAGGTAAAAATATAGCATATATTTACCGACTTGCTTTATGAAAATTGCTGCCTTGTTTACAACAGTCAAAACAAGGCTTTTTTTGTCTTGCTACACTTCTTCATAATCATCTTGTAAGCAGCATTAAATTTGTACTTGAATCTTGCCTCCAGTTTGGCAACAGTGTTGCTGACACTGGAGAAAGGTACTGTATAATATGTAGGAAACAGTTTGTCATGTTCCAGAGAAAGGTATATGTCATGTCCACAAGTCTGCAGTGATATGCACATGGCAAAAATTTTCTGTTTGTCTAATTTAAATGTGTGAACTTTGTAAATTAATAAATTATGATGGAGCTTAATGTGTGATGTAGGTACACACAGTACACGATGGAGACATTGCGTGTTGGCTGGGAACAACTGCTGACGTCTATCAATCGCAATATCAATGAGGTTGAGAACCAGATATTGACAAGAGACTCAAAGGGCATCACACAGGTAAGAACAATGAAGTAGGTTGTAATAATCTGTTAGGGATTTCTCAACACAAATAAAATTCTTATAATATAGTATGTATTAACTGTATTACTTTATGACTAATTGTAAGGTGCAATCTTCCTTCTGAAGTTGAAGAATTTCCTACTTTTAAGGAACCCAAGGGTTTATTAATATGAAGATGACTGTGGACTCATCACCCTCATGATGAAGGCAGTAAGTTGTCTGAATCATCGGTTCAATTACATTGTGCAAAATTCTGGAAGACAGCGATCTTCAAACTCATTACCTTGACAATTTGAAATCTTGCTATTTATTACTTACCATGTTTGGGAAGGCCTGTCAATTTAACTGTTCTTTGCTCCAGGTGACAATAATCCCTACCTTCAAACAATTTCTCTCAGATACATTTTTATATTATCCTTCCAACCACTTCTTGGTTTCCCATCTTGCTGCTTTTCTTGAGATTTCCTGATCAGCATTTATGTATTTCTCATTTCCCCTAAGCATGGTACATGTCTCAGTTGTCATAATTCTTGATTTATCATCTGAATAATATACAATGAAGAATGCAAATTAAGAAGCTTCTCATTATGTAATTATCTATAGCCTCCAGTTACATCTTCTTTCTTAGGTCCAAATATTCTCAGCACTGTGTTCTGAAATTATTATATGATGAGTAGAACATGATATGTATCAGTGTATCATGTGTGCTGGGTTGAAAGGGTTGTAATGTGTTACCAAATATAAATGGCCAACTGTCTTGCAGGATCAACTGAATGAGTTCCGCAGCAGCTTCAACCATTTTGATAAAAACCGCACAGGCCGTCTGGCACCTGAGGAGTTTAAGTCATGTCTTGTGAGTTTGGGATATAGCATTGGCAAGGATCGCCAGGGTGAGATCGACTTCCAGCGTATCCTTGCTGTTGTGGATCCTAATTCAACAGGCTATGTCCACTTTGACGCTTTCTTGGACTTCATGACACGCGAGACTACTGATACGGACACAGCAGAGCAGGTTATTGATTCGTTCCGCATTCTCGCAGGAGATAAGGTAATAAATATTACTTTATACATGTTTATTATAGTCATCCGAACTGTGAAGTGACCAGATTAATGGTGTTTACTACCAGAGTAGAACAATTGCTGTGTTTCAGACTGACAGTTCTGTTACAGATCAATTTCATCATGTAGTCTTCTAAAATTCTATAAGTGTACGGATCTTTGGTAGTGGCAATTTGTTTTTAACAGTAACAGGAGTTGTGATTTTCTTTTGATGGTGAACATTTGGTGCTCTTGTCAAAATACAGATTAATTTAATGATGGTAATAAAAAAGTATTATTTAATGTGTTTTACAGTTGATGTGTAAGTAAGGGAATGGATTATGTTCAGTGTGGTATGAATTAAGATTTGTAGAAGAGTTGCTGCAGGTAAGTGGGACTGCAGCTTGAATTTTAAAAATAAGCTGCTCATTCTTATAAATTCTTGATACTTGGTTGCTGAAACAGTCCCGTATTGGTGTTTCACATCTGAGAGGCGTTTTGTGTATGCTGCCACAAGCAGCATTAGATTGAGACTAATTTATTGGACCATATTTCTTGTACATCTACAAGAAACATCATAACAAGCTACAAAAAATAATATGTACTTGTAATTTTAAGCTGTTGGAACCTTCTAAGTTATATGTAACTTTTCTTTTGTGCTTACTGGTTGGAGACAAGGTGAGTGAATGTAAAAGATAAGAACCACTGTTTAATTTAGTGCTCTTTAAGGAAACTTAGTTTATAGGGTATCATCACTGGCAATACATACTTTTCTAAATTGAGAAGAGGTGTATGAGAGAACAGCTCCTTATTTGTGAACAATGTAGTTAAGAGAGAAATGTGTGTCTACTAGTTGTCTACTTGAACTGGATTTTGATGTGTTTTCTGACAATCGGTATTAAATTGAATAAGTGAAAAAATACAATTAATGCCAATTAGCCATTGATGGACAAGAATTTTAGTGAGTATATTCAGAAATACAAATTGTTTTACCCCTTGGCAGAATCAGGAGGAGACAAACATTCATATGAATTTGACAATACTGATGATGATGATTATTGTTGGGTGATGTAATGAGTGGTGGTTGAATGTTGGAAGTTTCATTATTGTGTTTTCAGCCGTACATCCTTCCTGATGAGCTGCGGAGGGAGTTGCCACCCGACCAGGCAGAGTACTGTATCCAACGCATGCCACCATACAAGGGACCGAATGCTGTCCCTGGGGCCCTCGATTACATGTCCTTCTCCACAGCACTATATGGAGAATCAGATCTGTAAATCAAACCTGACAACTCTCTGTAATCCACACTACACTCATTCACTCGTATATTCACTCACCCAACCATTGAGTCATTCATTCAGTAAGTTGGTATGTTATTCTTGTTCATGGATTTCTTTTTTCAGTTTTGAACCATCTTAACTGTGTGAAAATCATAGTTAGGACAATAATATTGAGCTGTAACCTTGAAATTGTTCATTGTATTTTCTTGAAACCATGAGCCAGGGTAACTAATTGACATTATGATTACATTAAAAGGACTCGGACTGGAATCAATAACTGTGGCTCAACATGGTCACTGTAAACCACCTGTTGCCATATAGACTGGGGAATGAATTGAATATCAATGGTCATACACATACATACGTGAAATTGTCCACAGAACACTTGTAGAAATAATTTACTCTATTTTTATTTTAACTTAATCTACTTTTGCTGTGTAATAAAATATTCACTCAAATGCCTTGTCCAATGAAAAGCCACTGACTAGGCATTAAAAAAAAGGAAGAGAAAGAAAAAGTGTGCAGTTTTATTGTAAAGTTCCTTTAATTTATTTTAAAAATGGCAACAATAAGCTTTCACTATTAAATAATGTTTGCTTCATATTTCCATTCATTTGCATAACTCCTTTATAGCAAAAATGTTACATGCAGCAATCTTGCCAATCCAGTCTGATTACAAGTATTTTTAATTTTAAATAATGTAGATTTGACAGTTTTTGGTTGAAAACACTATAGCATGTAACATCAAGGTTGCCAGTTGATGGATTCAAACTGGTCTGTGTCCCTTCCACGGTTATATATATATATATTTTTTTTATTCTTGCTTTTACAACGAACAGCATATGCTACCAGGTATCAGAAAGAACACTGGTAACTCTGGTAGTTGCAACGAATCGAATGAAGCTAAGGCTTGATTAAGTGTAGATTAATTTTTCATTTGAGTATATTTATGTACAGTAAGTAATATATTAGTTTGAATAAATATATGAATTCATATATTCCAGTCATAAAATGCATAGTCTAACATATTTATCATATTTTCCTTTCATACTAACCCCAAGATAATATTTCTGCACAGTCAGCCTCATATCTTAGAACAGAAAAGAGAAAGCCCATTCACTGCCAGCAAATTAACCGTTGTAACACTGTATGCTACTATTTTACAATGGCGTTCATTGATTTAAATGAAATTTGTAGCCATTTTGTTGCTGCTGTAGGGCAGTGGCTTAGCTTTGTGTGGATAATGGAAGAAATACTTGTAATCGGACAGTGCTTGTCCTGTCCAAGTGAATAAATACGCCACTTGTGGAGTGATTAACCTTTATCGTATGGGAGTCGGGACTTAGGTGTTACAGGGTTTCTGGCCAGACTTTACCTTTGTGGTATATAACTTTGTGGTTCACCAGTGCAATGCAGAAATTGTATGAATATGCATAAGTTGTCATATGGACGATAAAGGTTAATATGCCAAGAATATTTTTCTGGTGGACAGCAAGAAGGGAGAACAACAAACCGGATCTTCCAGGGGTACATGTCATTTGTTAACATTGTAAATGAAATTGTGTTCAGATAATGGGCATTGGCATACTTCATTTATCATGTTATTTTGGAAATCTAAACTATTATAAATCTAAAAAACAGTCAGTACAAAATTATTTAAAGTGTGTGGGTTTTGTGACTATCATGTGGTCACAGTCTGTCTAGTCATTGTATAATTCATATGTAAAAGATATCCAAAATGGGAAGGAAAATTAAACTGTTTTCTGGAATTTATATTTTTCTCATTCAAAGTTGAATAAAGATCAAAATTTTTAAACATGAATTTTCTTATGTTCTGCAAGTTATATTTTCATTAATTGTGTTGTCACTTTGCAGGAAATGCTACAGACTACCACTCTTCATTAGTGATGGGTAAACCAGATCAATAAAAACTGTATACATGTCCACTTCATGTGGTTCTGTTGTGAAAAATCACCTTCATCCTTTTCCAGTTCTGAAGTTTCATATCTTGGTATTGTCTTAGACCAGGGGTGACCAACCCGCGGGCCGCATGTGGCCCGCCTTGAACATTTTTCCGGCCCGCGAGATTCATCACACTTTTACAAAATGATATATATTTCTTTACAATGTACGCTTAGTATCATTATTATTATATTATCTATGTTTACATATAAGAATAATAGTAAACACAATAATAATAACTCATTATGTTTCAATTTTTCACTCCAAAAAAATGTCTATAGTGTATCTAAATCTAATATGGGGATATATAATTTTATATGTGGCCCGAAAGATCATTTGGGTTGGCCACCCCTGTCTTAGACATTACTTTGTTGGAATCTCTGCTTGATGTGAAGATGATGATAAAACATGTAAGAGAACAAATAGTCCCCAGTACTATTTTATGCCATGAGATGCAGGTGATCATATGACATCACTTTTAATGAATAGGTGTTTCATAGCCCATCAATTTAAATGATATGGCATTCGTTTATCCTTTTTGGATGATACAAAGAATGTGAACTGTGGCTCTGTTAAGATTCTGCACTAGAGCAAATGTAAAATGTCCAGGTCCCTAACCACCACATTATGGAGGGAGTGGAGTTAAATCTGCACACATTCTTAATTAATGGGAAGTGATTGACTTTATTTTGACTGCTTTACCACCAGGTATAGAACCCCTAGTTTTCATTGGATACAAGGCCATGTGTGCTCCAAAGCCAGTTTTGTTATAAGGGTAGTGAGAAAGAACCTTACCCCTCCTGAAAATCAAATCCTGTTCACATGTTTAATGCTTATTGGATGAACATTAGTGATGGGTGAGTTTGATTGAACATTGGGGTAGCATGCTGTGCTACTCTGAATAGTGAACTTGGCTGTACACACACTCGGGCCCCATGGGCTGAGGGAGATGGTTGGTAATATGCCGACTTTATGGAGCTACATCAAAATCTCTTATGCAATTGGTCGGACTTCTATTATTCATTGAGGAAATTCTTCATTCTGGAAGTTCTTGTTATGCTGGAAATGTCAGTTCTTTGTTCTTTGCAATATAGTGCTGCAGTCACAGTGTGTTAGGGATTAAGAGACTAATATAAGATATAAAGAAAGAAGAAAAAATTAACTTTTAATATTCACCAACTCCATGGAAGAATCCTTAAGATGTCATTAAGTTAGTCCCCACTTTATATGGAACCTTAGGGTTCAGTACAGAGCCAACAAGAGCCCACCACTGATCCATATCTTAAGCCAGATGAATCCGATTCACAATTTCCTGCCCTATTTCCAAAAGATCAATGTTATCCCCCCATGTGTACCTGATGTGAGTGGTCTGTTATGGGTTTGAAACCAAAATGTACACATTTTAATCATTCACATGTGTGCTAAGTGCACCATTCATTTTATTAATTTGATGAGAAATGGGTAGTAGGTCTGCAGGCTGAAATTAGAGCCAAGGACCTTAAGAATTCAGAGTGTTAACTACTCAGCCATGGTGTACAGTCTCTATGACATATACACACATTTGTTTCCTCTTTTTGAATACAATACTGAGAAACACTTTTTCTCACATGTTGCTAAAGAATAGAATTTATTTGCATTCCATAGATCCTTCATAGGTCTATGTCAAGGATGTAGAACAGGTCATGTGGAATTGATTTCTCTATATCGGACAACACCCAGTGTACTACAACCGCACTTTTGTAGCAATGTTTAGAACTGATTGTTGCCGGAGTGTTATATTAAACAGCTTACAGTCAGGAACACTGATGTCAACACTAGTGTTTTCATGCATGTTAATTATTAAATATACGTTTTAAGCATCAAGTTCAGGGGTCCGCAGGGACCGTGGGTTCGAATCCCACTCAAGCCATGGATGGTTTTCTGTGTTGTGTTGTCATGTGTACAGGTAGAGGCCCTGTGACGGGCCGATCCCTCGTCCAAGGAGTCCTATTGAATGTCCATAGATCAAGCCAACTGAAAAGTTGGGGACCCGTAAAGGGTACCGGAAAATGTACAAATATTGTTAAACCGGAAAAAAAAAAGAAGCATCAAGTTCAGTGTGTTACCCTAACCCCATTTTCCCAATACAACCTGAGCTTCAAAAGTCCCCCCACCCACGCACGACATTGTCACAGGGCGTGGTAGTATTTATCCCGTAGAGTAACCACAGAAAAGTCTGCTGTGTTTCGTATTCGTATCATTAGGTGGCGATTCTATAGCCAAATTAAATATGGCAGAATCATGGGATTGACGTGTGGTTATGAATTTACTTGCAATGTTCATATTGTGGGATTTTTAGTAGTCATTGGTACATAGGTAGTGTTTGTGGTAATGATTTATGTAGAATTTTTTATTTTCGGTTTTCTCAAATGATATTTAAATACTGCTTACATTACAAGTCCAAAATTAGCCGAGAATGCACGATGCATATGAGCTCGCCCAGTTGCTTAAGTTAACAGTCCAGATAGAATCTATTACAGCTTATGGTATGTACCTTAATAGGGAAGTATGATACGCGAAACGTATTCAAGCATGTTATGTATTTAGATTTTTATGAATTGTATTTTAATTTTTTGTAGATGACAATTTGCTGGTTGGAACACATCAGGGCCACTTGTTAATGTACAGTGTTGGATGCCGTAATGGGGATCAGAAGCCTGACGTACAACTGTTACGCTATAATAAAAATTTTAGCAAGAAACCAATTCAGCAATTGGCCGTTGTTCCAGAATACCAACTTCTTATTAGCTTGTCAGGTAATGATTCATATATGTTATGGATGCCTGTAATGGATGCTTATTTTTGTTGTTTAATTTTGATTAATAATTTGACTTCTACTAAAGTCTACGTTGGTAGCCACAACACATGGCGTTGACTCCACATTCAGATTTCTTATTTTGAAGTTGTGTATAATGTTTAGTTATCAATTAATTTATTGAGCTTAGCTGGTCAGTAGTTATCTTCACCACTGATCTGCCCATTTATGACTGATCATCCATTTATGTTATGCTACTCTGATATGTCACACCTCTGTATTTTTATAAAAAGGTTGATTTATGTGAAACGGCAATAAGGTAAAACTATAAATAACCAAAATTTAGTTAAAAGTTGGTTCACAGACTGGTTAATGCAGTCTTTGTTAGTTTTAGTAAATTTAAATCTCATTACATTAACCGGTTGAGGGAAAAGTTCGGTTTGTAATTGAGTCATGATATTAATATTGTGTCTGATCCTACAGGCCAGTTTTAGGTAAAAATAATAAAATTATTTACATTATTTATGATGTGGTTTGAGTTGTCCCCTACTCTTCCTCCCTGGTATAAATCCTTACTCCTTAATAGCTAGCACTGGTATGGAGTTTTGATGAAGTTAAGTGCTCAGAGATTTATTCTGTGTTTATGAAGTGTTTTGTTTCAGATAATGTTATCTGTGTTCATGACATGACAATAGTAAACTTCCCAACAGTAACAGTAGTTCAGCGAACTAGGGGTGCAACATTATTTACTTTGGACATCAAGGTTAGTAATGAAATATGTGACTTTTACTTTATTTTCAGCTTATTTAAGGGATGATTGTTTTATGGTAACATCTATTTTTGTGTTCATTCTTAGCTAATAAATTACTTTTCTTGAAATCTTGTACAGACATATTTGTATGACTTCATCCTACTTCATTTTTGATTTTATACAAAGATAGTAGGTGCCAAAACTTCATGCAGTTGCCTAAAATGTTTAATCATATATGTAACTTTTTTGAGGTCATTTGTGCATACAGTGTAAAATATTAAGTACATTTAGTTCAGCATTAGTAGGAGATAAAAATCTTGAACATTGCAACAGCTGTGAGATGCTCTACCCCACCGTCTCGAAGAAAGAAACAGAGGAAGATATCGAGACGGTGGGGTAGAGAGTTTTATTAACTGGCTATGCTTATTTTGTGTTTCTATAACCCTACTTTTAATATAAAGGTAATAAATATATCAGAAATTGACACTTGTTTGAATTTGTGAGAACAAAGACTCACTTTATGGTTACTGTATAATGAATATAGGAAAATGTAATATTTGAGGTTTACACAGCGGTGAGTATGAATATTTCTGTCTTCTGGGTTGTTGCACTGTGTAGTCTGGTCGATGTTTACCAACATTTCAGAGGTCATACTGTCATCAGGGTGATGAATATAGGAAAATTTTGTGATATTTGAAACCAGATTTACTTAGAGTTGTATTGTTAAGGAATCATTCTGTACATCCTTCTTTATTAATGGTATTTTTGTCATAATTTGAATAGAATCACATTGTCATAAATGTATTTAAATTTCTACTAATTGTTGCTTATATGTTTTGATTATTCAGAAACATACTTCACTGACAGGAGAGACATCTGTGTTGGTGCGAATGTGTGTGGCTGTGAAACGAAAGCTTCAGCTTTTCTATTGGAAGAACAATGGTTTCTTGGATTTGCATGATGATCTTACTGTAGCAGATGTTCCACGTGCTCTGGCTTGGTGCCAAGAAACAATCTGTGTTGGCTTCAAGGGTGACTACTGTCTGATGCAGGCATGTTTGTATATCAGATTTATCATAAGTGTTTTATTTATTTCTGGGGATTGTATAGTATCCTTGACCAAATTATGGCTGGAAAATACCATGGAAATTGTAAATAGCTGCTAGTTACTATCAGCCTGTGTAAAATGGCAAATGTAAGTAGTCGGCGAACCTTCTGATTTTGATGGCACTTGTTTGTGACAATGTTTTTTGAATAATATGCAACACATGCAGAAAATACAGACTTTGAATATTTATTAATTATTGCTGTATGCAGCACAGCTTGGAGCATTTTATATGCTGTGAGACGCTTGGTATGTGTGAAATGTTTCTCATAGTTGAAACTAAAAACATGTACAGGTAATATTTTTGACATGTATTCTGGAGGTATCCAGTTTATGTCTTGGTTGTGTTGCTAGTGATTCAGCTGAGGTGTTTGTGGGTTTTTTTTTTAGTCTCTTAGGTGAATGCCATGTTTTCTTCCTTCCATATACTTACCTGTTAACCATTTCTGATTATATTCCCATCTCATTTAACCCTGTGTAATCTCTGTAATTGATACAGCATCATTAAACATATCTAAGTTAATGGACCTATCTCTGTCAGACTGTCTTCCACTTCGACTTACTTTGTTTGTGATGGCTCTGAAACTATTGAAGATGCTTCAGCATGAGTGACTCATTTTTTAGTCTTCTTTTAATATTGAGTAAGTTTTGTCGTTCTCCAAGATGTTGACTTTCCTGTGGTTATATCTGTTTTATCATTGACATCATTTCCTTTTTCTTCATTGTACTCATAAATATTAAAATTATGTGTAATTTATTTGAATTCAAAAATTTGCTTCCATGCTTGTTTAACAATGCATATTGCCAATAACATAATTTTTGAGAGGCGCATTTGTAATATGTATTGTTAAATTGGCCACAGTGTTATAGAGCTAAGGAAATGCAAACAGTCTGTAAATTCCATAGCACACTTTAACTGAAGATGGTTTGTTGTTTTAGCTTTCTGGGCAACAGCATGACCTATTTCCAACAGGCAAGCACCCAGAACCTAGCATCACTAAGCTATCTGATAACACATTTGCACTTGGGAAAGATACTCAGTCCATATTCATGAACACCGAAGGTGACCCCATACAGAAATATGCAGTCAGATGGTCTGAGGTGCCACTTGCCATTGGTAAGTGTTGTTAAATTTTTAAAATTCTTTTGTAGGGACCTGCATCTTGGAATTGTTTATTTTATTTTATTTTAAAAGTAGTCTGAACAGCTGAACATCATGGTTAAGTAGTTTAAAGGAGGCCATGATTGTTGCCTTCTACATCCAATGTATTAACCTCTAATTTAGTGCTGTGTAATGTATGAAGTTAAAACAATAGTGTTAAATAAACTAAGAAGCAGATAACCATTATTCCAAGAAAGACAAGTGCCTATCTAAATGTATTATCTATTGAATCTAATCAGATATTGCAGTCAAAGGCTTTGTACTCCATCATATCCTGAAGGATCCCATTTTGGAATTTCATTCTAGAGATAACAAATTTTAAGGTTTTCATGGTTTTTATGTGGTCCCTGCAGGCAGATGGTAGGATGTTACCTTTACTGAGCTCTATACTCATGTAATCTATGCAGTTGAAAAAGCACCATTAAATAATACAAGAATCATTCATGCATTCATGACCATTGTATTTCTAAATTGATATTACACCAAAGAAAGAACTGTGGCTGGCCACAATGTAGACTATGGAGTTAGGCAGAGTTCATGCTCTTGTCAGCAGTGGGGGGAAAAAAAGTTGATAAAACAAGGACTACACAGAAAGTATTTTCAGTTTTAGATTGTTTTTTATTTAAGATAAAAAATAACTGCATGTTCAATAATAGTGTGTCATCTGTCTGTTTATGTTTTACATATGTGTTGTAATATTGGAACCAGTATATAAAAGGGGCCACTTTCAGATCCAGGTACAAAGTCAGTTAATTGCAATAAGTCTTTTATGTATCTGCTTAAATATTCAGAAATGTGAAAAAATGTTTCAGAAGGATGGTGAAAAGAACTGAAAGAGAAATTAAATCAATGTGGTAGGTACATTTTGTGATATGATAACATCTTTTTGAGAAGTAAGGTATTATAGTTGTAAATACTCTTAAGGCCAATTTGTTTAGCTTAAAATTGTTTTTTTCTTTACAGCTTATGATGAGCCATATCTATTGGCTTTGCTGGCTGACTGTGTTGAGATCCGGACAGTAGAACCCTGCTTGTTCATTCAGTCTGTGACAGTTCCAAAGCCAAGGCTGGTTGTTCGCTGTCGTCAGGGTCTGGTATATGTAGCATCAGTAAGTCATGTATGGTGTCTGCAGGCAGTTCCGCTTGCACGACAGATCCATATTCTTCTGGAAGACAAACAATTCCAACTCGCACTAAAACTTACAGTATGTATATTAATCATAATGAGGTTAAGTTTCTGATTTCAAATATATTGCACAGGTTGACTTTTTTTAAAAAAATTTGTATCTGGTATTGGTTGATTCTCTTATACTGATATGAAATTCAAGGCTGAAAGAAAATAATTAGCATGAAAGTTAATGTATTTCTATAGAATTGTTAGTATTGCAGTGGGAATATTTGCTTTGGACATTTTCAGTTGGATAGTAAAATTGTATTTCTTTTTGGGGGCTTCCTCAGTCTTTGTATGCAGAAACGTAAAAGGGTACCTACTGTATGGTACCCATTTGAAAAATTTAGTCCTTGTGACTGGCCTCCTGTATTTTGGGAAGGACAGCAAATGTTATCTCTTCAGTGATATCTGAGTAATTAATTCTCATCTGTTTTGTAATTTGTGGTTCTGTTATGCACGTGAGCACTGCCAGATTTCAGATTAGGTAAAAAGAAGTGAAGTTATTCCAGTGTTTAATTAAGCAGCATCTCATGAAGACCTGGGGAGAATGGAGGTGTAGCTCCAGACATTTTTAACCTTGGAACTGCGTGGAGGTGAAAAGTGATATTAAGGCTCTGGCCACTTACCCTCATGTGGGCCTCTGGTACCCATTAGATAGGAGTCTGGGTGGGCCACAAGTCTGGTCTAGACATGGTGGAATGAGAAAAACCCTCACCTTTGCTGGAAATCAGAGTCCTAATTGACTCCATATGATTTATCAAACAGGTAGTTGGTGATTAATCATGTATATGAACTAAAGTCTGTGTTAGTCATTGTAAATTTTTGTGATATTGAAAATAATTAATTAATGCAGGGTTCAATAGTTCATATAGCTAAAAATATTGTTGGTCACTTGTACTGGTGGATTTATCATTATACCTACTATTACTGCAGATACACATTCTTCTGTGCAGAACATATCAGATGAGTCAGATGAGGAGAAGTCTAAGAACATCTACCAGATTCAAACTCTGTATGCATTCGACTTATTCAACAACAAACAGTTTCATGAATCCATGAAGGAGTTTTTGAATCTAGGAACAGGTGAGATATTTTGAAGTAATTTGGATCAAAGTCACTTTTTTTCTTTTGATAATGTAGATAATAAGAAAGACAAATTATTACTTGTTTAGGATTTGAGATCCAGCAAGTAAACTTGTGTGTATTATACCTTGACTCTTGTGAAAGTACTACGAGGGTCGCTCATTAAATAATGCCCCACATTTTTTTTCTCAGCCAATAATGAAGATAGAAAAGTGTACTTTTACATGCTTGAGATTTGATGTTTCCCGCGTTCGTGTACGGAGTTTCAAATGATTCCAACCGATAGCGGAGCTGTAGTGAACTGTTAAAATGGCGTCTGTGAACGACTCTCGTTACAAGCAACGAGCTGTAATTGAATTCCTTGTTGCTGAAAAAGAAACGGTGGTGAACATTCATAAACGTTTGTGTGCTGTGTATGGAAGCTGTGCAGTCGATAGGAGCACCGTTGGTCGCTGGGCTAAGAGCGTTAAAGCTTCAGGAAGTGAAGAAACCGAGCTCCGTGATCTGCCGCGCTCTGGGCGTCCTGCCACAGCCACCACTCCAGACATGTTGAACCGCGCGGATGCCATTATTCGTGAGGATCGGCGCATCACAACTCGACAATTGGCCCAACAGCTTTCAGTCAGCAATGGAAGTGTGATTGCAATTATCCAGGCTCTCGCATATTCGAAGGTGTGCGCAAGATGGGTTCCACGAAGTCTCACAGCAGACCACAGGATTCAAAGGAAAACGATTTCTTCTGAATTGTTGGAGCGTTTTGATGCTGAGGGAGAGGTCTTTCTGTCCCGGATCATTACAGGTGACGAAACCTGGATACACCACTTTGAGCCGGAGACAAAAAGGCAGTCAATGGAGTGGCATCATCCTCTATCACCGAGAAAGAAGAAATTCAAGACAACTCCCTCCGCCGGAAAAGTCATGATGACTGTCTTTTGGTACAGTGATGGGGTCATTCTTGTGGATGTGATGCCAAGAGGTGCGACCATCAATTCAGACGCGTACATCAGGACCCTGAAAACCCTCAAGAAGCGTTTTCGACGAGTTCGGCCTCACAAGCATCCAGCAGAAATTTTGCTCCTGCACGACAATGCACGCCCTCACACAAGTCTGAGAACCCGGGAAGAAATCACCAAATTGGGTTGGACGGTGCTACCCCATCCACCCTACAGTCCAGATCTGGCACCCTCCGACTTCCATCTCTTTGGGCCACTCAAAGATGCTATACGCGGAACAAGGTTTGAAGATGACGAGAGCGTAATTCAAGCAGTGAGGACATGGCTACGTGCACAGGACAAGAGCTGGTACCGGCAAGGCATGCATGCACTTGTTCCACGCTCGCGTAAAACCGTACAAGTTGATGGGGACTATGTGGAAAAATAGTATGTGTAAAGGAAACATTGATTTAAATTGTCACTAAATTTCAGCCATCTTGAATAAATATATTCTGAGGAACAAAATGTGGGGCATTACTTAATGAGCGACCCTCGTATATTGAATTTTGCTGCATTGTTCCTTGATTGTCAAGCCAGATGCTTAAATAGAACTTTTAAACAGATAAGATCATATCCTCCAAGTCTTCATATATTAGCATGGTATGGATGGAGCATGCACATGTATGTACTTTCATCAATATTGATTATATTTTCTTGGTTAGGTTATCTGTTGCATGCTACTATTATTGTTATTTGTTTAACCCTCCATTGAGTGTACTGTGTTGTGTAGTGGTATTTTTAACTGCCTCTGTAATGTCTACAGTGAAATTTTTAAATCAGCATAACTTTTATTCTATATAAAATAAACATAAGATTTTTTCTTACATTTTCACATGAAATTAATTTATACTTTTGCCTTACCAGTGGTATGTTTTATACATATAGGGGCATCAGAAATTAGATTAGAAGTGAAGTCAAAATTATATATGAAAAGTTTTACAATTTATTTTTTCATCTTGTATTGTTAGATTGATTAAATTGTGGAGAATAAGATGGGCAGAACTTTAGCTGCACAAGGGAAATTAAAAATGCATACAAAGTGTTGGTTTGTAAACCTCTTGAAGGATAATATCAAAATGAATTGTTGATAAAATGGTATGTAGCTTAGGTGGGTCACCTTGAACATGGTGATGAATCTATCATTTTAGTGAAAGCAAGAATTCCTTTACTGGGATCAACTGCTCATTTTTTCCAAATAGTTACCTAGTTAGTTGTGACTCTTGGATTAGTATGTTGCCTGTTAGGTCACATTTTGGAATCTGATACTCCATGCTACTATTTAAGAATAATCCTGCTGTTTTCAGACCCATATGAAGTGATCAGACTGTTTCCAGAGCTGCTGCCTCAGCAATCTCGTGGACATCAAGAGTTGGAGCAGCGCCCAAAATTGCAGGACCGTGACCTGGAAAACGGCTTGCTGGCCCTTATTGAATTTCTTACTGAGGTTCTTAAACATGTTCCTTCTTCATTTTGTGTTTATAAATCTGTATTAAATATCTGGCCATGTGTAATACCTGCTAGTGCCATTCTAATTACTTTCTTTTACAATCAGTATAACTATATATTATGCTTGGAGTTCGGTTTCATGAGGCTTCAGCTTAATTTAAGAAGAGTGGAAATGTTCTATGCCATATACATTGGGACAAGTGGTAATGCTTCTGACTTCTGTTTGGGAAATGCCTGGTTCCAGTCTCGGCTGGAACATCAACTAACCCTATTGGGGTTTATCATGGGTTTCCTGTTCCCTTTGGTGAATGCCAGGATAGTATCTTGAAATTGGCCATGCCCACTTCTTCCCAATTGCTTTCATTAAATGTGATCATCATCTCACATTGTATGATGATACAGTGTCATTAAATAAAATAATAATCATCTGTGTATGTACTCCACTGCAGAAATTGTTTTTTCCTAATGTATTCCTTGCTGGGGTTTTTCTTCACTGGTTGTGATGTTTATTCATTGAAAGTACAAAGATATTGTTAAAACATAGTGGCCCATTATGTGTATTGAACATAATTAATTTTTTTGCAATTTCTATTTTTGTTTCTAAACTGAATTCTGAAGTTGTTGTCTTTGACTGTTACAGGTACGACACAAGCCCATGAAGGACACAAAGTTGAATACAGAGAGCAGCCAGCAGAACAGCATGACCCACAAGTCAACACAGCAGCTCCTGCAGATCATAGACACAACTCTGCTGAAATGCTACTTGCAGGTGGGTCAGAGTAATCTAACAGGTTCGGAATTATGACGTACTATAACGCCATGAAGCAAAGTCTGTCTAGTGAAGGTGGTAGTTGCTCAGCTGGTCGAGAAATTCCCCACCTTTTATGATACCCAAAGGTTTATTACTGTGTTTATAAGAGACTAAGTCACTTTACCCCATTCTGAGCCAACAGAATCAATCCAGACCTTCACACCCTATGTCTTATAAATTTTGATGTGCTTTTTCATCTATGCCTAATTTACCCATACAAAATTTTTATGTGTACTTCTTATTTCCTTAATCAGCCTTAATTTCCTTAATGTTTGGTGAAGAGTGTGAACTATGAATAATTTGAATGGTTGCATCCTGGTGCATAGTGAGTAGCAATATATGTATACAATAAATACCAGTTGTTGATCCTTTTAACAGTTGTTACCACTATTATCATCCACTGATATTTTCACCAGGTTGAATAATTTTATAACTGGACCTTCGCTATTCACTCTTCTTACATAAGTGTCTCTTGCCACACTTAGTATATGTATTCTAACTGCAGTAACATTTAATAGTTTTCCTGGAATTAAAATGTTGAAACTGTTAAAGTAAGTAGCTTACAACATGTTATTTCTGTAACTAAAACAAGTATTTCTGTGTATAGACAAATGATGCTCTAGTTGCTCCTTTGCTGAGGCTAAATCACTGTCATCTGGGGGAGACCGAGAAGACACTGAAGAAACACCAGAAGTATAGCGAACTTATTATTCTTTACCAAACCAAGGGGCTGCATCGAAAGGCTTTAGAGCTGCTTCAGAAGCTGGCAGACCACCCTGACTCCTCTCTCCACGGATATGAGCGCACTCTGCAGTACCTTCAGCATCTTGGTCAGTATAGAACTTATTTGCATAATTCACATATGTTCCTTGAAAGATTTTCCAATCAAACTCTTAGATGCATTATTTATGAAAACATTCATTCATAGTAAATATCACTATTTGACCTCTTTATTAAAATGAAACAATTTCTTAAAGACCAGGTAGGCCCAGCTTGCAGTTTATTGTTAACAAAGCATAACATGTTTTTTTTTAATTCAGTTGCCATGTGTATTTATGAACTCAATCTTCATGCCACACAATCTTCAGGGTCTCTTTACCTGTGAGGTTGGTTGGAGTGTGAAACTGACCATTCAGCTTTTAATGCTTAAGGCTGGAATATATAGAGCTTTACCTCTTTGCCCATTATATCCTTCATGTTGTGTAAGGATACCTTTTTCTTTTGTATGTACTTCTGTGCATTTCATTCCTTTATCTGCTTGATTGTCTGATGTTGGCATATTGTTAGTGTGAGCATCTTTTTTTGATATGCTGTATGCAGGAAAGGATCACATAAATCTGATGCTGGACTTCGCTGGTTGGGTTTTGGAGGCTAACCCTGAGGAGGGTCTCAAGATGTTCACAGAGGACATTGCTGAAGTAGAGCAACTGCCACGTCCAAAGGTGTTGGATTACCTGCTGCGAACACATAAGGATCTTGTCATCCCATACCTGGTATAGCTGACATTATTTAATTCAAATGAGATCATTGGAATATTATAACCAAACACTAAAATAGTTTGTTTATATGTAGTGGTTGAATGAACAGTGATGTTTAAACATTATCAGTATTCTGTGTGTTCTTTACACAAAATGCATTTGGCTCTGAAAACTTTATATTTTGTACGGTGAAAGCCTTTTTCCCTTTTACAAGATCTTGGGTCTTTGTATCTATAATGTTATTCATGTAAGTTGATATGAAGGTTCTGCCATTAAGGAACACCACCAGCGACTGTTAGTAGACAAATAACTTTGTAGTTTGCATATATACAGTGTATGAAAAAATTTAAAGATAAGTTAGAGTACTTTGTGGAAAAAATTTGAAAGAGATAGTTTTCAACAAACTATGAGATATGCTATGTCTCATTTATGTGTACTCCAAATATCAAGGAAAGTAAGTGGTGATTAAGAAAAGACTTTGGAATGTATCACATGATTTTCTCACTATTTTTTGCATTACAGGAACATGTAATACATGTATGGGAGGATTCAAACTCTATCTTTCACAATGCTCTTGTGCATCAATATCGAGAACGCTATCAGCAGCTCCTAGTGACTTCTTCCGAAGAAAGACAGAAGACACGTGCCAAATTACTGCAGTTCTTGGAGACATCTTCACACTACACTCCAGAGACTGTGTTTGTACACTTTCCATATGACTGTGAGTAATTGTGATGTGACAGTGTATTTATAATGTTTTTGTTTTTTTCTGTGAGAACTTGTTACATTTAAAGGTGTCATCAGCTTATGATTGTCATCTGCTCGTGTTCAGGCCTCATACCCCGGCATTGTCTCATGATCCTTTTTGTGAGTATCTTTGCCCGATATACTTGTAATCATAACGTGAGAGAGAAACTGTACTCTGAAGCAAAGATCTGTGTTGTAACTATGAAATGGTTAATGCATTTGTTTCCTATTGTTAGATCCCAGAATTGAAGTAAATAATTACAGTATGCTGTATTGTGTAAAATTATCTAAAAATTACCTGTTCATACCAAAAACAGAGTTTTTCAGTAGTAGTAATAGTATTCAACGCTCACATTTCAGTCCACGGATTGTGAAATTGTCTCAGGAATGTGGATCATTAAGAAGATGTTGGACATCTACTGTGTTTTATATGTTTACATAAGCTATATGCTTTCTATTCTTTGTTATGTATTAGCACATGATTTATTATGTTAACAGGCTTATTTGAAGAAAGAGCCATTGTGCTAGGGAAGCTTGGTCGACATGAGCAAGCCCTAGCCATATACTTAAGCACCTTGGGAGATGTGCCTCGTGCTATACAGTACTGTGATAAGGTAAATATGTATTTGATACCCAAGGACTGAAATGGTTTTGGTGCTTTTATTTTAAAAATAGATACTGGGCTGACTCTCTGCTTATACTCTTTTACTTGAGTTTATAAATGCTGCTGTATAATTCCATGTCATCACACATTGTGCCGGCGAAGATCTTGGTTTCAAATTTTTCCTTCACTGGTAAATAAAATTGTTGTGGACTTTGATGTGAAAAGGTGCAAGCAACACACCACCCCATCATCTCTTCACCCTCAAAATAACAAACATTTGTGGCAAGCTACCATAACTGCCATCAGAACCAGAAACATGAACGTAATGATAGAAGAATTATTGCACCCTCAGATTATGAAAGGATACAGCCATATTACCGTAACATTTACTACAGTAGTGTTTTTACCCTACAGGTGTACAGCCAAGGAAAAAAGATGTTAATAACCCCACCAAACAACAGCTGGCTTGTAATTGGAACTCCCTCTTCGACAGTGCCTTGTCCACCACCATCAGACCTTGAGACTGCACTCTCCCTCCTGGAAGAACATGCCAGCAAGATTCACCCTATGAAGGCTCTCAGTGTTCTGCCTGACAGGGTACCACTGGGGCGAATCAGACAGTTCCTTGAGGTTAGCCTGCAGAACAAGCTAAATGAGCGCAGGCGGTCTCAGGTGTTGAAGGGACTGTTATATGCAGAGCATTTGCAGGTATTGCACAGCCTATTCTTCTATGAATGTTGTGATTAAAGGACAGTATGTATTTCAGTTAATATATTTTATTTGTGGCTGTTGAAGGTGCAAGAGCTAAGAATGAGTTATGAATCACAGAGCATCCTCATGACGGAATTCAATGTGTGTCCAGTTTGTAAGAAGAGATTTGGAAACCAGAGGTATGAAACTGCTTGTACTCTGCTGCAAAATATTTCTTTTTTGTTTTGAAGCAGCTACTTATATGTTTATAAAATTATTTCAGGTGCACAAAGTCTATCTCATAATTTTTTTTGTAGTGTATCAAAACTGATGCATTAATTACATTTTCATTCTGATTGCTGTAACGTATTTGGTACTTCACTACTGATACACACTGTCCATTTTGTGGTACTGAGTGATACATGTAGGGGTGATTCAAAAACTACCTGCAATTATTATTATTTTTGTTACAATTTATTCTGAACATTTAAAGTTTATTATTTTTCTGCATAGTCAGCCTGTTTCTCAACACACTTGGTTCAGCGAACAGTGTGATCAGGGATGGTAGGGTCTTGTGAACATAGTAATGAACCACCAGGTTTCATTAAAGACAGGAAATTTCCTACTAGCTGAGCAACTGTTAGCTTCTCAAGGAGAACTTGGCTTCATGGAATATATTTGTTAGTAGGCCAGTGTGTTATTAAGAAAGACAGATGGGGACTAATTTATATGATGGAAATGAAATTGTTATGGTCACTGAGGGGTTGTGCAGGGATATGTACAATGAAAAAGATGACATTAGAGCTGAGAATTTTGTTTTACATACAGTTTATAAACAGGCTGCAGCATAACCTAGTTATTTTTTAATGGTGTAACAGTATGTACCTATCTTCTTAAATGTACAAAGTATGCTGATTGAATTTTGTTTGTTTGTTCATTTCAGTGCTTTTGCTCGCTATCCCAATGGTGACATTGTGCATTATTCTTGTCAAGACAGGAGATCGTAGCTTTGTATTTGCTTTTGCTGAATTTACCAAAGACTTTCAAAAGTGATGAATTATTCTCATGTGCTGAATGCAGCATTAAAAGCATCAGCATGGAAGTTGTAATGGCCCTGAACGTAATTTGTAAAGACATACAATGTCCAGTATGGTTCAGATGGACTATTTGGATTGTGAAGAAGAGGCATTTGTGATACTTTGGGTAAGCACTAAAAGAGCATAGTGCACAATCATAGTCTTTGTAAAAGTTAAGTGATTGATTTCAAAAGTCTGTTTCAGAAAATTGTCTGTCCTGTTTTATAGGATATGTTGTGTAGCTGTGGCACAGAGAAACAGACATCTTGATATATATGACAGAGCAGTCACCCACATTTTCAAATACCCACAAAGTGTATTTACTCACATAATTTATGCACCAATACTTTCAGACAAGATGTTTTGGGGGAGGAGAAATATGGAAGTCTTACCTTCATATCTTGACCCCAAATTTTTTGTTAAGTAGCTAAGTATGTAAGTAATTAATCATGTAATTTGTGCCTTCATATAATGCTTGCTCCATAATTTATATACTATTAGGCAGAATAGACACAAGTTGAGGTTTCTGAAATAACGGATACAAGTGTTTGTGTTATAAAGATTGTTTCACATTGTTTGTGACTACATCTATATATTCTTCCCACTTGACTTTATTTTCTGTTCTTCCAAGCTAGCAGAAAGGGCTGTATTGTAATTTAAATATATTCAGTCGACTGTTTGAAGACAAAGACGGGCACTGGTGATGTAAAACAACAGATTCTAGGTTAGTCTAAACATCGACTCCCACCCCCCATTTCTGACTAGGAATACCTGCTGCTGTTGGACAGCGTCAGCATATAATACTTTTACACAGGAGGGTTCTAAATTATACAGGAAAGTTTCCTTTTTACACACTTTTATCAGTATTGTGCAACTGTAATTTTCTCAACCTCAATTTTACATGTAAAATGATACCCTATTGAAAGTAGTGTTCACATATTTTATGCATCACAAGTTTCTGACATGAACATTTGGTTACAAGAGAGTGTAAATTATGTGAGTAAATATGTTATTATATCAGTGTCTTCAAAGAATTTGACAGAAGAAATATATTCATGTTACAGTGACTACCAACCTCCTCTCAGAAAAAAATGTATCTGTATTTCTTGTAAGTACATTCAGATGTAAAGTACAGTGGAACCTCAATATAATGCAGGTGTTGGAGGACAGCTTCAGTGCCCATGTTATAAGCTCTCTGTTGACAAGTCTATGATGAAAATCATGTAATCGCTATATAACTGGGCGCATAATATCAAGGTTCATCTGTGCAGTCAACTTTTCCATCTGAGTAAATTTTATTATAAAATATATAACGCAGTATGCCTACAATGGCTGGGGCTAGAGTTGTCAAAACAATTTGTTTACAGAAAATGCTTATAATGCTAATGTTTCATGTGGTTTCTTGGGTGCAGAACAAGAGAATGAGATACTACTAAAACAGAATTCTTAGAATCCTCAAATAAGTTTAAAATTTTTATGCAGTAGACTTCTTTCACAAAAGATAGTAAATTCTAAACGTGTAATAAAAGTTTCTCTGCTATTTTCAGTGTCAAATATGTATTGTGTTATTTGGAGGGGGGAGGGGACATTGTTAGGCAAATATTCCTTGTAACTGATGATACAGTGACTGATTAAGGCAGGCTAGCAGGACAGTGGTGTTTGTTATTTATACTTTTATAAATAATCTGCTAACTACAATGTACTCTTCTGTCTCTTCTCCATACACATGAGTATGCTATGTACAGTTAAACTGAGTGACTGTGTCCTTACATATATGTATATAAGATAAAAATACACCTCAGTTTATAATATTTAAAGCTGAAAGCAGGTATTTTATTTTACATTACATTATGGCCTTTATTTCAACATTATTGCACCAATAAGATTAAGGACTTGTTACATTTTGTAATGGTAAATCAAAGTTTATCATGGACAAAACAGGAATCAAAAGATGTATTCCAAATGCTGTCTTTGCTATTTTGCATACTTCATGGACCTTGATGCTTGGAGATTGTTGTCATCTGGGTTACTGTGCCATGTAGTCTGGTAGATTTACACAGCGCAATAACCCAGATGACTGCAAAATTCAGTCTCACTGCTGTGAAAACCTCAAATCGTACACCTTGATGTTTGTTTTTTGCAGGTACAAATCTACTGTAGCAAAGTTTATTACACTATAAATGTCATGCATAGTCAGAAATTAGTTTCCTTGTACGTCAATTGATATTTACCACATTAAAAGTGTTTTACTAAAAGGTCTTGAGATCTGTAGTTTATCTCATGCCAGATTTTCATATGAAGAACTTTTTTCTATTTTGAAAATTTGAATTTGAAATAAGCAGTGAATGCTAGATTGGTAGGAACCAAGATTAGATTTGCCTCATAACTTTGATTATGTTTCCTTACTTGTTCCTAGTTTGATCAAAATTCATTCAGTATCGATGAGGAAACATGCTGACAAACTCAGTCTCTGTCCCTTATGCTTTCATTTCATCCATTCTGTGATGGTGAGAGATCTCACTCCTAACCTCTTTTAGTTTTGTGCTGCATGCCAGTGACAGCTCATCTCTCCCAGTTCCACTGCCAAAATTGAAATAAATCTTTCCATGAGGAAAGAGATAACCCAATATTAGTACTTGCCTAATATATCAAACTGCTTATTGATTGGTATATAACACTGGAAATTCCTAGTAGTTTATTGGGAGTGAATATGATTAAAAAAGCTTGGAACATTATTATTAATGCTACTGAACATTAGTGTCCCTTTTGTATGTACAAGTTCTATATATTGGTACTTAATGTTAGAAGTTATTTTAAAGTCATATTTAAATTCACAAACTGTAAATTCTTGGTTTATACAGTTTCCTTAAAACATCAAATTTCTGACATTCTTACAAGACATTAATGAAAATATGGACTTCACAACTCTGAAAATTGGTATCAATAAAATCACTAATAGTTGTAGTTACCCGCTTGTAGTTGGTAAGTTATTTATTACCCTTAATACAGACTGAGCTATCGTTGTCGGTCATAGACAAAACGGTTTGCACGATGATAGAACGGCTATTCGTACCACAGATGACTATTTAGTACTCTGTGGCAGTTGAATATTGAATATCGGTTTTAAGTGGAAGTGACTGATAAACCGATGGCAGAAGCAAGCAAAGTAATTAAAATAACACTCCAGTCAAAGAACTTACAGTGTAAAAACCTACATGATTATTTGAAGACCCTTCCAACAGAAATTCTGGATAGGTTGTATAATCATCCAACAACGTGTTTAGCAGTGTACAGGTGTATATTTATTTTGTAACATAACCACACTTTATATGCTACGTTATTTTATAACTCATTATGAAAGCAAGATGCAGCTGTTACTTCCCCACGGTTTTTTTCTTCGGAAATAGTCTAGCAGTTCCAAAATTAAATTGTTATTTGTGGTAATTTTGTGAAGATTTTGTGCTAAGTACGGTGGTTTTCGGTTGGTAATAATGTAGAATCCTAAACCCCCCAAGAAGAAAGATGAAACTAGTGTGAAAGTTTCTTGGCTCAGATTTAATGGATTTGTATAGCAGATATTTGCTTTGGATAAAGCATAGATAAATTTTAAACGTTTGGGCAAGTGAAAATTGAACTCAGGTGTTGTATCAGATTATTTACTTTTATGGTAGATTTTTTTTAATTACTCCGGCATTACTTTATATTATCAGTATCATCATTCCAGTTACGTAACTTAATGTATAATTACAAAGTAAATTGTTCAGATCAAAGACCTGTTTGTTTACCTAAATTTGTTTTACTCCATTGCTTTGTTGTGTTCAATATTTTCCAGAGAACTCCCAGAAATAGCACAGCATTATGTTATCCGAATACTCTTCGTTGAACAGCCAGTTCCACAAGCTGTAGTAGCTTCATGGGTTTCACAAGCATATTCGAAGTAAGTATCATACAAGGGATTAGTCTGTCTATAATTGCATATTGATATATTTAGTAACTGCATGTTACTTCTTTAAGTGATAGGTTTGTTGTGGTTTTTGGGATAGGTGACTGATGTTCCTGTTAGTGGTTGTTTTGTTTCTTTGTTTGCAAAAGCAGAGAGAAGATTCCATTTGATATGTTTGTGATGTAACCTTCAACAATAATGTATTAATGGCTTCAACATGTCTGTATATGGCATTTCTGTGGTCAAAGGAACATTAATGGAATTAGGTTTTTAATAAATCCTTGCAAAAGTTAGTCAACTACAGTTTGAAGCTGTAGTCTATATGCTTAGTGTGGAGGTATGGTTAGTTTAGTTTTAAGTTTTTTAAAATGATTCTTTTTTTGTTTAACAGACATGAACAACCATTGCAACTTTTGAGTCTGTTAATCATTACATTTATCCATTATTATATTTCAGGGAACACAATGAAGTGGCTCAAGTGTTGAGTAGTCTCCGTGTATGGCAGGAGGCGGCTATACCTGGTGGACTTCCGGGATGGATTATGAACTCTGCCTTTAAAAGGAATATGAAGATTGCTCTGTTGGGAGGGTAAGGTCATGCAGCTACTTTGTTTTCCAATGCCTTTCATTGAATGTTTCATCATTGTGTGTTTTTATATTATCTGCTCACCATGGGCACGTATGAAACTTTTAGCCTCAAGAGGCTAGTTGTAAGACCAAGATTCAGATGGTAGAGGAATATTGATCCTTTCCCTATCAATGAACTAAGTCCATGATCAGAACTAAGTAGTTCTTACAGGCTGGTTTTCTGTTGTATGGCAGCAATAGTGTTTATATAAACTTTGTGTTGATTTTACTTAGTTTTATAGGATTATAGTTATTTACTTATAGGTGGGATTGCAGTTGTGTTAATATGATAAGAATTATATGCTTCAAACCATGTAGTCTTCCTCCTTCCCTAGCTTATGCTGCATTCCTGTTTCAGAAATGAACTCAGACTCCTCACATAGATAGAGACTGTTTGTGCATTGTGGAATTCAGATGCCTTTATGTGAGATGTGATGGTAAATGAATAGCATCCTTAATTGCACAGCTGTGTACTCAGGATCCAAAAGGGTTATTAGTAAATTTGTTGCAAAAATTGTTTTGTTCTTAGAGGAAAGCCATGGAGCATGTCATCACAACTGGAAACTGACAGCAAACCGCGTGACATTCCGTACTTGGACAGCTACGCTATGGAACGATGGGAGTGTGTGTTGCATTACATGGTGGGATCACAACAGCAGGAGGGGATATCGGCTGATGCTGTCCGTATCCTCCTTCATGCTGGCCTTATGAAACGGTCAGTTGACTTCATACTTTCTTACTTATAAGGAAGAATGTATTTGAAAAGTACATTGAAAGGTAAAGGAGTCCTTTTTTGGAACCCAAGAAATTTCTTGAATGTTCATCTGTCCAACTCCTGATTTAGTTATGGACATCAGTATTACAAAATTAGTTGACTAATGTTCATGGAACTTGGTATGAATATCATTCTATTGGAACCAAACCCGTCTTGATGCTTTTCCATTCCCTATCTGAAACAATTTGCAGGCCTCTTGAAATGGTCACAATAATTTGATGCATATTTTATTTTAAAAATTAGTTGTTGTTTTTTTTAATTTGACTGGACGGTTGTAAAAACTTGTAAGTTAGGAACAACTGGTGCATATAACTATCCAATGAAAGATGCTGTCCTTTTAAAGCAATTTTGCAGTCAGCCACTAATAAACAGCATTTCACGCGTAGTTACATGATGAAACTAGATCACCCAAAAGCATGAATTTCTTTTTCTTTCTCTTACTGAAAAAAAAACAAGTTGAGAATTATTTCAAAAGTAACTCTCTGAATGAATAGAATTTTTCTTTTAGAACTGTAGAAAACTTTGTGAATGCCTACA